AGAGCTGTGCAATAATATACTTTACATTTAGCAATGATATAAACAATCACACAGCTAAGATTTGCTATAGTGTACCGTATATATTGTTTTAGTTGAATCTACTGTATATATGCAATGTGACTCATTATACTAACTAAATATTCGATTATATTACAAAAAATTTGAAAAAGTATAAAATAAATGATGATGGCTTTAATGTGGAATCTGTGTTCAAGTGATTAAGTATATTTTACCAAGTTGTATCCAGATTGACTCTTGTTTTAGTTATAGGTGCTGTCAGAGATTTTCAGGCATGTGTATGAGATGCAAGCTTTGCCTCTGCCCCGTAAGACCATAAAAAACCCACACTCGTCATGGTAAAAGCCCCTAGTCCAAACAACTTTCCTCCCATACTCAGTGTCCACACCTTTCCATGTCGCCTCAGTAGAGCCTGCTAAAGCTCTCGCGCTCCTTTATCTCTCCGGACAGCTCAGGTCATCACGTCTGTGTCGCCACATTTAGACACGCCATATTTTCTAAAAGTGCAGATGTGTGCATAAAACAAACTTCCAGAGAAGGCACTGAACCCTGAACCTGAACCCAGACGCGCAGATCAGTTGTTTGAAACCGGCCTCTCGATGTAAACTCCTTCCCGCCTCTGAATCGGGCTCGGTTACAGAGGAGGTACGGACCGTGTGCTGTGTGTATTTACCCTGGTTAAAGATGTTATTTCTACCACATGAGCCTACGCTGGGAGAGCCTGCGTTTAAATGTAATCATACTTAGTGAACTGATCATAGGCGATCTGCCGTAACGGGATATGTGTGTGTAGCCGGGTAAAGATGCTCGCCGCTCCGGAGGAGTCGAATGGGAAGATATGGTGGATGACTGGGCTTTATTTGTGTTGAGATATGAGATGTTGTCCATGTCACACGTGTGATGTCTTCCTCCACATCTGCTCTGCTCAGACCGTGTGGTTTTTAGCCAAGCCCCATAGATGGAGTCATTTCAACCCCTCTAAATACCATTGGTTAGTCTGAAGGCTAGTTCTGTCATGACAACTCTCGGAAAGATTGGCATGGTAATGTACATGACAATGTTAATGTATTTAGTCGTGGCGGAATAGATCTGCAACGCTGATGCTGCTGCGGCAGAGCAAGTACCGAGACTTGCTACTGCCAATACGTCCACAACACGCTGCTGTGAGCATGTAAGAAATATTGCTGCTGCAAATATAACATACATGAAATAACCCCCACATACATGAATCACCTCGTAGCAAATCTATACAGGTGGAGCTGGGGGAGGTGGAGGGTTTCTGAAGCAAGCTGCACTGCTACGGCAAGCACTAGTCATATATTTGAATGCTGAGCAGCGAGCTCATTGGCTGCTGATACAGGAGAGAACCAATCAGCTGTGCCATGTGATAATGATGTCATTAGGTCAGATTGAGTTAGACCTATCGGACTGCGCCATCTAGAGTTTCATGCCAGAACTCTGTATTTTGTATGGAAGCATGGTGATTGCGACTTTTTATATCACATTTTTGACTTTTTTCTTCTTGCAATTGTGAGTTTATAACATGCAATTGTGAGTTAAGTCAGAATTTTGAGATATAAACTCGCAACTCTGAGTACATATCAGTCCCCCCCCCTCAAAATTGGACTTTATAACTCACAATTACGAGTTTACATCACACAATTCTAAGAGAAAAAGTCAGAATTACGAGATATAAATTTGCAGTTGCGAGAAAAAAAGTCAGAATTGTGAGATAGGCCTACAAACTTGCATTTGCGAGAAAAAAGTCAGTGTTTATGTCTCACAATTCTTACTTTATTTCTTGCAATTGCGAGTTTATATCATGCAATTCGGAGAAAAAAGAATTGTGAAATAAAAAGTTGCAATTACCTTTTTAAAATTATTTATTCAGTGGCGGAAACGGGCTTCCGTAAGTTTGTCTGCATTAATGCGCTGGAAAAGCAGGCCGGCATCAGGTGAAGTAATAACACACGACACAGAGCTCGACGTGCTTGTCAAATGCACTGTTTGGTTTCATTTTGAGATAACACATTTCATTCATTTGCATTATTCCTGTGAACTGCGGCAGCTAAATGCCAAATAAATAAAACGAAGTGTCCTTTAGCCTTGAAACCACTTCCTTTTTGGGATTCCTTTGTATAATGAGCCTTTGATAAGGCACTTTGGGGAATGGGAGGGGAAGTGAATGCAGTGAGCAGCACCATTAAATACCCAATTCATCACAGTCACAGTTTAAAGGAACAGTGGGCAAAAATAAAATTCCGTCTATTTACTCGCCTCCATGTTGTGCTTTATTTTAGTGGAACTTAATATATCTGTCATAGCTTTCGCATCTCATTTAAATATGCAGATTTGGTGCATCACGATTGGTTATGAGACACCAATGGCATTTGGCTTCAGGCTAATGCACGTTAAATGACAACTGCTGGTTATATGGATCAGCAGATTCTTTTATTTCATTTGAGATGTGACATTTACACAACTTTAATCTAGAAAAGCATACAAGGAGGGCTGTAATACCATTTTAGTGCATTTTGACGATTCACAGTTTTTTCCCTTTTAGTAAGAGTACTCATGGAAATAAAAACGATATACTTAAGCGCGGACTGAATGTAATTTTTCAGACACTTTTTTGCCATTTTTTTTATTGCAGTTTAAATTTATATTAAATGCAATTAGTTTTTGACCCACTTTAATAGAATTATATATTTTTATGTAATTTCATAAATATTCTTGAAATATAGTTAAAGTGTGCTGCCAAATGTACTGACAAGCATGTATGATCAACTAAAATATACTTTAATGTCATTTTTATTCAAATTTGTGTCATGCATTTAAATATATTTTTAATTACACATTTGTAATGATTAAGTTGCAATTCAGTAAAACATATGAACTTTCTGTAATATCAAATAACACACTACCGTTAAAATTATAATTACGTGCTTTAGTATGTTGGTCAACATGTCAAAATAAATGATGAAAGATTAATAAAGTAATTATTTAAATTGTCATTAAATTTGGCATTATTACAAAGTGCACTTTGTGTGTTAAGAAACAGCCATGAAAGTGTCTCTCTTTAACTGGCTTTTTATTTAATTAACATTATATTAGTTACAGTTTTTAATATATATACGTTTAATATTTTAAGTACACGACAAGAGCACATTCAATAAAATTAAGTGCACTTCTTTATCACAGGGGTGTTCGCTATTCATTTGCATTGTGTGGAAAAGAGCAGCGTGAGCATTCTACTAAACGTCTCATTTTGAGTTCCACAAAATAAACTCATACAGCTTGACCATTTTCATTTCTGGGTGAACTGCCCCTTTAAAATTGAACACAGATTGACAATGCATGAAATATGTCAAAGCGTATATGCCATTCGAAGTTGTTGCAATAATAATTCGTAGGATGTGACCTCGGGCATCTATTCAAATCGGAGGTCCGAGGGAGTCCGGCCACACCAAACTGAACTGTGAACTTGCAACTTCCCGTGCTGTAGGCGTCTGTTGCTAGGAAACAAGTGGCCCACTCCGTCAATTTCAGCTGGGGTGAAATGCGAGTGTTTTTCTTCACTTTTTTTCTATGAGCTTTGGCTGGCCATCTTTTATTGATGTACAGTTTCCTTTGAGTCGCAATGAGACTTTCTGTGGGCCAGGACACTTTCAAAAGAGAGGAAATGGGGGTGTGTTCTGAGGTCAAATGGTCCCTTTTGTGGGGCTCCTGGGGGACAATGACAGTGGGTTGATGCTATGTGGAGGCGAAGGGGTGAGATCCTTTGGGACAGACAGGTCTGGGGAGGGGAGATGCTGCATGCTGCCAGAGCCCATGCGGAAAAGTCCAGCACAAATATACGGCAGAGGCAGAGAGAGATCATCAGTTTTTAACCACGCTTCGTACTGTATTCTTTCTAGCGCAGCATAAGCAAACAAGTTCGCCCCAAGGGCTGAAATTTGAATAAGCAAATTCTTGCTCCTGATGTTTTTAATGAGTGCAGATGCAACAAAGTAGACTGGCTTTTTATGGCAGCCAAAAATGAGGTCACAAAATAATTACTTTCCTTGTCAATAGCGGGGAAGACTGTAACGCTAAATAAATAAGCAATAAAACCACTTATGCCCTTGTCATCGCAGGTATGTGCAAGAAGAAATTCAATCCTCCACCTTCTTCCAAAAAATAGACAGATAGTACAGTACAATAAGAATTCATTTGTAAACAATAGTTAACATGAACCAACAATGAAAAGTACTTCTAAAACATTTTTATTCTTAGTTCATGTCAATGTCAACATTTAATAATGTTATTAAAATCAAAAGTTGCATGTTTATATTATAGTCTAATATGAACTAACAATAAACTGTTATATTCTTATTAACTAATATCAAATATGTTTTTACTAATATCTATATATATATATATATTAGTCAGTATATCTTTAAGTAAAAATCATGTTATTTATTTATTTAATGATTTTATTTTTAGTTTGGTGCTATAATTTATTTTTTATTAAATTACTACAATGTATATTTTTCAAAATCACTCCTTCACAAGTTGCATATAGTATCAGATTCAATTAAGTTATTTAAATAAGACTGTTAAATTAAGATGGCATTGGTAATGACTGCTGATATGACTTGAGGCAAACTTTACTGAACACAATAACAAAATAAAAGAATAAATGAACAAAACCATAAAGTGTTATAGTTTCCTGGCTCTCCCTACTTTGTAATTCAGTGAATGTTTCTGCAACGATCCAGTGAATCATGCATCATTGTATTGTAAAAACCAGCTTAACTTACTGAAATTCTGTATTTTCTCAGAGAAATATCACACTTGATAGTGCCGTCCACCTGCTTTGGTCATGCATGTGTGTGCTGTTTTTTCATTTTATGCTTTAAAATGTTCATGCTTGCTTTGTTAGTGAAGTGGGAAGTTGCCAGATTCATCCTTATTTTGTGTTCTTATTTTGCATTTGAAAGGACCACCCATTGGGCTCGGAGGAGAGAGATTCCCTGCACGCCGTCTCTTTGGAATATTAATGGGCTTCTCCTGGGAAAACTGCCCACAGAATAGGCCACTCCATCGCTGTCTCTGTTTCCGCTCAGCTGTCCTGAGGGTACGTGAGTGTGTTCAGTACAATCCGGTCTGGAGAAACCTCAAGTACACCTCAAACTTTTGTTTTGATGTTTCATTAAGAACTCTTGAAGTTGAACGTTTCTTTTTTCCCCCCAGAATATATTACCGCTTTTATTGCACAATAAAAAGCACAGGAACGGCTACATTTATGATGTCAAATTCCTTAGTCTCAACTTTATAACCGCAATCAATAAGAAGACACATTGATTGAAATGAGTGGGCCATTAGCACGTGAGGGATTGAGAGAGGTGACAATGATGCCGATCACCACTGGTTTTCATCACCGGAGCTGCATAGTTCTTTCCCACTCGATGGCAGAAGCCCAGACATCTCATCTGTTTCGGCGTTATGAGAGTGACCGTCCTAATGGCTTCTACAGATGGCAGAGCTCGCTGAAGTCATTGCTCTTTTCTTTCAATCCCTTTCGCATTCTTTATCTGTATTTGTGTCTCTGTCACTTGCTTTCAGTCATTGCACCATTTCCTCTGCCCCAGTCGGGGTCTCTGAGGTGAGCGCTGAGTTTTCGGCATATTTATGTGAAGAATCAGTTTTTTACCAGCCTGCCAAGCTGTGAATGAAATAAGATGGATTTGAAATGTAGGGAGGGCAATAACGAATGGTGTTAGAATGCTGAAAAGAAAAAAGTATGTATTAGTGCTGTCAAACGATTAATCTCATCCAAAATAAAAGTTTTTGTTTACATAATATATGTGTGTACTGTGTATGTTTATGTATATATAAATAAAAACACATGCATGTATATATTTAAGAACAATATGTTGTTTATATATTAAATATTTATATAAAATATAATAATAGAAATATATAAATGTATATACATGTAAATGTTTTCAAAATATATACTGCATGTATGTGTGTTTATTTATATATACATAAAAAATAAACAGTACACATGTAAACAAAAGCTTGTATTTTGGATGCGATTAATCACGATTAATCATTTGACAGCACTAGTGTATATACAACCATTCAATAGTAATGTTTTTTAATGTTTTGAGTCTCTTATGCTCACCAAGGATACATTTATTAGACAAAAAATACTGTAAAAATTATAATATTTTGAAATTTTGTTTCAATTTAAAAGAACCGTTTCCCATGTGAATATATCTGTGATAATTATTAATAAAAACATTTGTGCTGCATCATTTTTTTTTGTGGAAACATGATGCAATTCTTTGATTTTTTTTTTCTTTACAGCATTTATTTGAAATAGACATGTTTGTAACAATGTACAACCTGATCAATTGAAATAAAATTATTAATTTCCCTGAAATTTTGATTTCATGGATGGATGGATGGATGGATGGATGGATGGATGGATGGATGGATGGATGGATGGATGGATGGATGGATGGATGGATGGATGGATGGATGGATGGATGGATGGATGGATGGATGGATGGATGGATGGATGGATGGATGGATGGATGGATAGATATATAGATATATGGATGGATGGTTGGATGGATAGATAGATGGATGGATGGATGGATGGATAGATATATAGATATATGGATGGATGGATGGTTGGATAGATAGATTAGATAGATAGATAGATAGATATATGGATGGATGGATAGATATATAGATATATGGATGGATGGTTGGATAGATAGATAGATGGATGGATGGATGGATGGATGGATGGATAGATAGATAGATGTAT